GCGGCTGCCGCTCTCGCAGCTGTCTCCTGCAATGATCTATCACACACTCTCATTTGGCAGAGCTAATGAGCGCTTTAATTATCGTGTTCACCCACAGAGGCTGCTGCTTTCTGTCAGCAGCCCTCTCCGCCCCCCCTTCCGAACTCGAACTCCCACTGCTGCCACCCAAACCTCTCCCCGTCAGACACAGCGACCCCCGAGCCCCCCGAATCCCCCCACACTGCCTGCAGCACACCCCCAGCAGCCAGCAGGCTTGCGTGCAAGCAGAGCAGCTCCGTCACCGCTAATAAATCCCTGACCCCAACCATCCATCTTCCCCCGGCCGAACTCGACAATGCGAAGGGAAAGGTTAAAAGGATCCAGATGCACCTGAGCGGAGGCAGACGGCCGCAGCGTGCCCACCAAAGGCAGCAGGGAAAGGGTGATGTAGCCCGGGGGGGGCTTGGAGCCGCCCGAGCCTTTCAGTCTCTGCGGAGCAGACGGACGAACACACCTCTGAGGCGGACAAGGGCTCTCTCGCCATCATCTCCCCCTCCAGCTAAACCAGAGCCAGCTCCAAAGCCTGACTCTCCCTGGATCCAAGGCTGGATCCCACTCGCAAATCAAAGGCTCCGCTGAATACTCAGTCCAGAAGCTGCTCTGCCGGCAGTCTCAGGCTGGCCCCGAAGCCGCTCTCTGCCAACACTTTGCTGTAACAAATAATTTGTTTTACTCTGCTCCCTCCCTAAAGACATTTGCTGCTTCTCATAAAAGTATCCATTAGCGAGATTACTGCTGCTGGTTCACCTGCCATTTGAGGAGCAATTTGCAAGGAAGGGACAAGAAAGGTGGAGAGGAAAAAATCTCACAAACTAGCCCACAGATCCCTGGAAGGTGACACCATCCAGGCGCAGACCCCCCAGCCGCCTCAGGGCCCCAATGCAAGTCCCGTCCAAGCCCACCGCGTCACGACGGCTCGGGCACCAGGCGGTTGGTGACACCCTGCCAGTGTGGGCAGAGGGACTGGACTCAACTGGTACAGAATAAATAATCCGGCTTCCGACGCTGGCAGCTGCCAGCAGGACAGATCAGCTGCAGCATCCCCGGGGTGGCCTGGCACGAACGAGCCCTCGGGGATGGTCTGTGCCACACGGTGTTTGCAGAGAAAAGGACGGAGTTCGCGTGACAGGACAAGAACCGGGGCCCAGAGGGATTTTGGGGCAGCGCTGGCAAAAGAACCAGGGAGCGTTGGCTCACAGCCTCATCCCAGAGGCTTCCTGCTTCCCCTCGGAGCAGTGCCAGCCACGCTGGGTGACCGGGAGCAGCCCTGCCTTGCCCAGCACAGTCACAGCTCATTACCCAAGAGCAGCAGCCCAATTTCTCAAAGTCCATCCGCCTGCCCATGCTCTGCCCACCCTGCCCGCCCCATCAAGGACAAGCAAACCTTGCTGGAAAAGCCCCCTGCATCTGTCCTGCCTCCATAGCCACGCTCCAACCCCTCCAATCTATTTGCAGCACTGTCATGTGGGAAGGGCAGTGGTATCTGCCTTGCCCCCAGCTACCCGCTCCGTCCTGCGAGCAGAGGGACCTCACTCTCCCGAGCACACTAGGCCGGAGGTTGCTGTCATGTCAGCTGCGGCAGAAAAACCCACGTCATCTCTGCCTTGGGAAGGGAAAGGCTCAGGGAAGGTGCTGGAGGGGCTAGCGGGATGGCAGCAGGGAACAGACCTTGCTGGGAGGCTCATGTCACTTCTCAGATAGGCGGCAAGAAAGGCCAAAGGGAGATGGGGACTCGCTGGAAACCAGCGCTGCAGGGAACTCGCTGCCCCACTCAGACGGGGTGGCAGGGCTGGTGATGAGAGGCAGCGCTGGGACAGAAGAGCCGCAGAGTTCTCGATGCAGAGGACCCCTGCACTCTGTGCAGGGACCCTCCACCTCAGCTCTCTGGTGGTGGGCTCCCCTGGATGGCAGCTCTTTATCCGCAATACAGCTCCGACCCTGCTCCCCGTAGCTCAGATTAAGCACACAGCAGCAGGATGGTGCTGGTGCCAGGGCTGCTGGGGAAGCCAAATCCCTGCCCGCAGGAAGAAGTGAGCCAGCGGAGGCTGCAGAAAGCACCCGCACCTCATGGCCCCGGCACCCAGTGGCATGGTCAGCCTGGTCCTGCCCCAGAGGGGAAGAGCTTGTGTCCATCTGCACTCCCCTGCGGTCTCAGGGAGGGTTTTAATGCCTGGCTCGCAGCAAAAGCTTGTCTTCCCCCCCTCCTCTGATGACTCACACAGCTCAGATTTTGTCTGCTTTCACCCTTCTAACACTAGTGGAGCAAGGCTGGATGGGCACTGCAGTAGGTCCCCATTAGAAACGGTCCTTGGCAGCAAAAGGAAAGAAGGAAAGGGTCCGCAGGCAGCCTGGCTTTCAGTGACTGCCCTGAGGCAGCACAGCAGTTTGCCCACCTCTGTCCAGAGGCAGTATCGCAGAGGAACAGGGTCTGACTTTCACCACCGTCACCTTCTGGGAGGGTTTAGGCAGCGCCCGGAGAGCAGCACTGCCAGCCCCACCAGCGAGAGCGGCGTTAAGAGACTGGAGACCACCATAATCACATAAGAAACCCACTGCTGGCAACAGCTCAAATGCGACAGGAGGGCTGAATCGTCCACTGCTCTGAGGCACCTAATTGCTGATCTGAGCCTGTAAAGGTTTGTTTGCATGGTTTATCAGAGCCATTAGACTGAAATCCCAGACGACTGCTTATATCAGATTCACTTCAGGTCTAATGAGCTCACGGGTGCTCCTTGCTGGGGTCACAGAGACAGTCTCTTCTCCAGACACATCCTCCCCCTCTCACAGCCTCCCCAGGCCTTAGGGTGTGTGTGGGGCAACCGCTCCCTTCGGAAAACGAGGAAGATCCTGGATGTCCTCAGCGACAGGGTGAAATCTATGACTCACTCCCTGACAGTGCACAGTGGGTTGTTAACAGGCAAGCGCAAGGTCAAAACATTCCTCCAGACGGCTGAGGCGTCCCTCTAATGCCTCTGCCCTTCCTGGAGGTGTGAAGCAAGTAGCAGAGAAATGCCTGAAGTGCCCAGGGCAGCATCAGAGCAGCAGAAGTGAGACAGCAGAGGCCTTTGGCAGGTGAGGAGGAAAGGATCCCGGAGATAAGGGCATGCCTACCTTTGTGATTCATCGTCTTCAGGCACTGCTTGCTCTGGATGTCCCACAGCCGGACTGTTTCGTCGTGTGAGCCGGAAAGCAGCAGGCTGCCATCCGTGGAGACCGACAGACACGTCACCTGGTTCCTGGAATGGGGAAGAGGATGTTTAAACTCAAGATGATCCAAGGACTGCCAGAAACTGGTGAGGTGGGCAGACAGGGGCAATGAAGTGTTTGGCAGGTATGTCTGGTCTCTCACCTGTGCCCTTTGAACACCTTCCCGTTCTCCCGCTCTGTCTGGAAGGTCCGGTCTCTCTGGACCGGCTGCAGAAATGAAGGAAGGGAGAGAGCAGTTTAAATTCACGAAGACTCAAGCCAGCAGGTTCATCACTGTGTCTGGAGCAGGCAGAGGAGACACAGGGAACCCAGGCCCTCCCATGCCCTGGTAGGTCACACCAGTCACGTATGCGGGGAGGTGACAGTGGCTCAGGGTGCCACGTCAAGAGCGGCACCGAGCAGATCTGCAGCCCCACGCACTCACCCAGGCACAGAGGTCAACCTGGAAGATGGATCCGTCCATGCCGCCGCAGAACATGTGATACTCAGAGAGGTCAAGAGTCACAGCCATAATCCCCACATCGAAGAGGACGGAAAGCAGGAGCTCCCCAGATGAGATTTCCCAGAGCTGGAGCGAGAGGGTACAGGAGAATTAGGGGCTTAAATGTTGATGACCGGATTGGAAGAACACGCTGCTGCTTATCAGCACCTGCGCAGCAGCAAGCTGGCAGCACGTACCGGCATCCCCTCCTTGCTGGGGACAGGGAAACTGAGTTCAAGGCATAACCACGGTAGAACCCAGGATCAGCCTCTTTTTGACCATGAGATAAGTTTCCCAGGCAGCTCCAAGATGGCCCTTAACCCCCTCCCGTGCCTGCCCTGTGCCCCAGGGCAGAACCCTCCCTGCAGGGCAGGAGAAGCAAGCTGCAGGCTGTGGGCTTCAGCCTGCTCTGTTCCCTGCCCTTTGAGACTAAAGGACATCAGTGAGGGGAGTTGGAAGAGCTGACCCCAACATTCCCCAGGGGAAGAGGGACTGCAAAGCACGCAGAGGCCCAGCCAGAGGGCAGGTGCAAAGAAACTGGTGTCGTTTGGAGAGGCAAAGCCCATTAGGTCTGGCAGCTCTGAGTCATCACAGAGACAGCCAAGAAATTCAGCTACTGCAACCCTCACAGAGAGCTCTGCTGCAGCCCAGCAGAAACTCCGCTTTAACCCTGTGGGGACTGCGCACCTCTGGGACTCTTGTTCAGTGGGATGGAGCCAAGCCCTACCTTCGCTGTCTGGTCAAGGGAGGCTGTGGCAGCTCGTGCCAAGGGCCCTCCGAAGCCACAGCACAAGTCCGTGATGGGGAGGCTGTGTCGGGACCACACGTGGCGAGGGTCAGGGATCTGGGAGGGCTCTGCCTGCAGCACGCTGTAGGGGAGAACAGAGAGGGGCTGGCACGGCAGGTCAGCAAGAGTAAGGCTGGGGATGCCAGAGCAAAGCGGCTGTGAGGAGAGCTGGCCAAGGTTCTGCTTCCTCTGGAGATGGCTCTCCTGGCCGAAAGGACCAAGCAGGACACAGAAGCCTTCAGCAGCCACGGCACATGTGATGCCAAGGATAGGGGCCACTACTGAGCTCCGCATCCCAAAGGGGACAGAGACCTCAGCTGCCATTAGCAGGGAAAGGGCACAATCCATTCTGTCAGGCAGGGAAAAGAAGTCAGAGCCGTACGCCACAGCTCGGGAAACTCAGATGAGACACTAGGAAAAAAACTCTCCGGCAGCAAGGATGACAGCAGTGGAACAAGCTGCCTAAGGAGGGCATGGGCTCATCATCACCAGCAGGTTTTACGAACGGCTTAGTTAGAGCTGATTCCACCTCCAGGAAGCGGTGGCTGATCTCTTGTTCTAATATTCCTTGCCCAGATGCTCCCTGTCCCCTGTACGAATGGGTCGAGATCTCCCCGTGGGCCACCGTTACCTGTAAAGGTTCCACACCAGGGCCAAACAGTCCTTCGCCCCCGAGAGAAAGTGGCTGCTGTCGTCAGTAAAGCAGAGGCATGTGAGGTCCTGGTAGTGTCGGTTCAGGATGGCCAGGAGGTTCCCGTTGGAGACCTAGAGCAAGGTAAAGGGCAGGAGAATATTAAGAAAGGAGCACTGAGATGCCCCAGAATAACATAGCACCCTGCTCTCAACAGCTGTGGGTGCAGCAGCACCTGCAGCTCCATCCCCAGCTGGATGCTGCTGTGCCAGGTGCGAGCAGAGCAGAGATTCCCTGTGCCGCGGAGCCACACAGAACAGGGCCGTCAGCAGAGGCGGCAAGCGGAGCGAAAAGGGAAGGTTGTGTCAACCACGCGAGCCTATTGGCACCTAACTGATGGCAACTGACACAATCGAGGTGCAACCAGTACAACTACATACGTTATGACTGAAGGTAAATACAGCAGACAGTTTGAAGAGGTCCTGCCCACGTTAGCTCTGGAACCTAGTGATGCCAGTGCCATTTCTCTGGTCAAGACACAAGTGTGCAGTAAAGATTTCCTGTTTACTGTTTATGTTACTTTGATGGCTTCTTCCAACCTTCCACAACATCTGCAGAGATGGCTGCGGGGGTTACGAAAGCCGCAGGAGGTTGCATGCCACCCCAGGGGTTGCTGCACATCAGCATGGCTGCATGGGCTTGGGCCAACAGAGGCTTTAGAGTGGACAAGCAGTTCCCCAAACCCCGAGCTTTTCTTCTTAAAAGGCAATGCTGCAGATGGGGAGGGAACTAAGGAGGCAGCGAGGGAGCCCCGTATAAAAGAACAGAATCAACTCCCTCTCATTGTCTGAATTACACCTAAAAATAAAACCAAACTGCAATCCAGTGGAGAACAAGCGGATTCACAGAGAAGGCACAAAACTAGGGCTCTCGGGCCCATTTCCAGCTCTACAAACGGTTTCCACGCAGCCTCTCCAACGTGCCTGTTCCCTCTGCCAGAAGGACAGCGCCGTCATCCGCTCCAGGCGGACGCCCGGAAGCGTTTGCAAGGCAAGGCTAGCTGGGGGCAGACAGAAAGGGCCACATTCTGCAGAGGAAGCAGAGCAGGGACCAGCTCAGAGCATCATGAGCGAGTAACTCCCACTTGCTGCAGTCTCAGCCCAGCACTCCTTGTGAGGGCTTTTTTTTTTTCCAACATTGCCACGAGCACATTTTCAAATGAAAAATCTGATGAATTAAGATAGAGCCGCCTACATAACAAGGCTCAGAAACATCCCCCAGGATGGAGAGCGTTCTAGGTTAGACATCTCGGTGTTTAATCCCAGGGATCAGAACAAGCTTGTTCTTTTATTTGCTTGGTGAAGTGCTTAGAAGGCAGTGTAATCCCCACGTAAATACACCACTAATTAAAAATAGAAGGATAATGACCAGAGCACAGCAGTCTCTGCAGACATCCAGATCATAACTCACACACAGATATTAGGCTAAAAGGTGGAAGAAGTGCTAAAGGAAAACTAGGTCCTCTGTTTCTGCTTTGAGGGAGCAACACCTGACCCCTGAGGCATCCATAGCAGCTTGAAAAGAGAAGGAAAGCCTCACGCAGCACCTCCCACCACAGCTTCTTCCCCTTCTGCTTTGTCGAGCTGCCCCATGGTCTGCACGCCCATGGAGGCCACGGAGCAGCCGGCCCTAGCCCCTTGGGGCAACATTGAGCCCAGACCACACCAAGACAGCTGTAACATACACGACTCAGCAAAGCCTTCGTCACACTGTGGAGCCCAGATAATGTGGATTTACTGACACCGGACGAGCAGGGGCACTTGCTAACTGTACAGGATGAGAATCTCTACATCCCCATTCCCTGTGCCAGCCGGCAGCCCCCCCTACCTCCCACAGGTAGATGCTCTCCGCAACTCCAGCCAAGATGTAGAGCCCGTTGGGAGAAGCCGTCAGGCAGGTCACCGGCCCAGGGCATATGATCTTCTGCTGGAGCTGGTCCTGGGGGCAGAAAGAACACGGGCCATTCAGTACAGGCTGGAGTATGGGAGGGAGAGAGAAGTAAGACCCCGGTTCAGGTGAGATCGGCCCATGGGAGAAGAGGCAGCTCAGGCAGCGTCCAACATGCCATGGCTGCCTGCGTTTGAGCTGTGTCCTCAACCCACATCAGCACTGCCGTGGTTCAGAGATTCAACGCCAAAGAGGAAGATGATGGAGGAGCACAGTCCATGTATGCAAATCCCATCGAATTGCTCCACATTTTGCTAGTTTTGTTGCAGTTCCTTCATGTTTAGCCCCACAAGGAAAAGGTAAATTCCCCTCCACCCTCCTCCAAGCACAGAGCTCCGGCAACACGTGGCAGGAGGGGCACCAAAAGGCAAGGGATCTGGATGCAGTTGTGCTCCACAGCTGGGAAACCCTGGAGATTCAGCAGAAAACAGGCTCAGAAGATTACAGCAAAATAACATTGGCAAAAAGTAAAAAAAAAGATTAAGTGAGCTCACAGCCTGGGAGAACAAGCAGCAGGTCTGAGAGCAGCTCCTTACAGCTTGGGGGAACTGGATAAAACAGACCCCGAGCTGTGGCAGCGAAGGGGCTGGGTGTGCCAAAACTGACGGGCTGCTGCTGGTCTCTTGTAGCAACACTGAGGGGAACAACAGGGAACGGAGAGATTACAGCTGGTTTTGCTGCTGTCCTGCCCTAGTTTAAGCACAAGCGGGATGCAGCTAACAGGAGGAGAAAGGGGCATGGCTGTGTAGGAGCAGGTGAGGTTTGTCCTGGTGCGTTTAGGCTTCCAATTTTGGCTGGAAGGCACAGAGAGCAGACCGAGGTGATGGGGGGCTTCAGGCAAAGCGGGCCCTGCCACGGGATACCCGCATCTCCCCAGGCTCTCCCTCGACAGGGATGGTTGCGTTCTTGGGCAGCCCTGGGAGCCGTGACGCTCCGCTCCTCTCCTCTCCTCTCCTTTCCTTTCCAGCCTGGGGAAGGGGAGCTGTGCAGGGGGCACGGTTGGGGAGACACCGTCCTGGAGAGGAGCCCAACAGCC